CATAGGGGATGGGAAAAGTCCCCAGCAGAGTAGCCAGATGTTGCATCGCTGTGAAGAGGGGTCGGCAAGGACAGAAGAGTCGCCACCGTTCATTATTTATCCCAAAGAGGGAAAGGAAACGATCAGAGAAAACCTACAAAAAGGGGAAAAGACAGGTCATCCCAACCAAATATTGGGTTCGGGAGTCAGTTACGCAAGGGGAAGGTATGAACACCCCTCACGTCTGTCGTACTCGACGGGATCCACGCTTGTTATCTATCTAAAAGGGTGTTTATCTATCTAAGCTATAGGCCACAGGGACAAAAGAAAAGAAAATGAGACTCGATAGAGCATTGCCACTCTATGCCTACGTATTCCCTCGTGCAATGGGAAAGTCAGAGTCAACGTAGTTCGGAAAACTACAGGTGAAGGTGGGGACGGTTGCTCGCCAAGACATCATCGTCTTGTGCCTACATATCCTCGTCTGGTACGAGAAATCAGATCAAACGTAGTTCGGGCTGACACGACCACAGATTGGTTCAAGTGTTTTACCCGAGTAAGGTTAAACCTTAGTTCTAGCAGTTAGGTGTATTGCTGCTCGACCATTGGAGACTTAGTCGTTACCTGTTTGCGGTAGAACCAAGAGTTAACAGCACTCTCTTTGAAAATGGTTTTCAATTAATCCCGAAGGATAAAAAAGTTTGATGTTTGTTTTTGAGTCATTTATGAAGAAGTGAATTGAATTGTGTTTGTAATTCATGTTGCACTAAAGACTATGACTTAGGAGCGAATGCGTCGCATATCGTCCAAAGGTCATACGCTAAACACTCTGAACATTTGAGAGGAGGCCCCCCAAACATCATTTTCCAAGTACTTAAGGCTCGTAGGGTACAACACTTATTATCCTTTATTAGATGTTTTGAAGAAGTTTTGAGATGAGAATAGAGGATACAATACTAAGGGGAAACTAACTCAACCCTAATGTTATCATGCAATGTGCTCCTATGATTGAGATTAAGAAGGGAAAATCTACCCTAATGTTATCATGCTTGGATTGAACACTTAATGTCTCTCCTACTCCCAAAGGGATTAGGAATACTAAGGGATCATGGCAAAGGAACCAAGTAAACACAATATAAATAAATCACAAATGACAAGGAAGAAAGGGATGCAAACATGAAATGCAACACAAAGAAAAGAGGGAGGAAAAAAGTGTGGGGCAGCAACCACCACAAGCACATCTCAACCTCTTGAAATCAACCAAAGAGATGCAAAACAAAAGTATAATGCAAGCAAAAGTGAGACGAAATGGGAGAAGCGAGCTCCTATGACCATCGACCATCAATCACCGAAGAAATGTGGGAGGAAAAAGTGTGGGACAGCAGCCACCACAAGCACATCTCAACCAAATGATTCTTCAAGCTCAAACAAAACAAATGATGAACACTCATCACTTTGAACAACATTCATAAAAGTATGCATTCAAGTGGAAATCGAACACGCGTGTCGAAAAAATCATGATTAAACAATCAAGAACAATAACACAATATCCAAAACATCTCACTCAAATGTATCATATTGATCCATGAAGATTCAAAGTGAAATGATACCCAAAACAAACTCAAAAACAACAAACATGACATTTTGGTTCAGTGTTAATCGGTTAACATATATGGTTAACCGATTAACCAGTTAAAAATGTTAGAAAATTTGAAAATTCGCACTGGTTATCGATTAACCAGTTTGCACTACAACTGGTTAACCGATTAACATTGTACCAGAGGCAGAAAACAACAGCTCAAAAGCACTTTCAGCAAATAATCACTTCTACAATAATCCAGATGATTGTATAATCAATTATGCACGAAATTAAACCATAAATCAGTGATCCAATCAACATGTAAACACATTCAAACAACAAGATCACAAATCACATGGATCAAAAATCAATCACAAATGAAGATCAATATGATGATTATGCAAATAAGCTCAAAAACATAATCGGATCTCGAATTTCCAACCTACAAAACGGAGATTTGCTTTGGTAAATGTTGATTCAACTTCAATTGAGCAGATCCAAGCAAGAAACCCGGAGATTCTTCAAGATCCAAGTGAGTTCTTGTAGTAGAAATGAAGATCTACCAAAATTAAGCTAAAATAATCCAAATAAGCTCTTCTAGATCAAATTCAAAATTCATATCCACAATAGCACGAAATTTGAATGGAGAAATGGAGACAATAAGGACGAAGGATGAAGGTTTTAGCTCTAGAATTCCATGATTCCAATGGAGAATCAAAGAATTCAAGGTGAGAGCTCTAATGGAGTTTTGGAGTGAAAAAAAGTTGAGAGCAAAATTCAAGAGTGTATGAATTTTGAAAAATAAAATGGAATTATGAGGATTGTGTGTGTGAGGTTTGGAGCAAATCACTTAAATATGCTCTTAGTTAGGATCCAAATGTGGTTTGGAGTGTGGTTTGTGAAAATTGGAATGGGATTAGGAATGGGAAATTGGAGGGAACTGGAACTAATTTGAAAACTAATCAAAATTCAAAGTGGTTCTAGATCTTTCTTCTGGTGTAAAATCAACTTCACAAGTGATCAAAATGGACCCTCAAAGTGGCACACTTGAAAAACTCACGTGCAGAGGCAAAATTTGTCTTGGTTAATCGGTTAACCATATGGGTTAATCGATTAACACCTTTAAAAATTCAAATTTGACCTGATTTTGCATTGGTTAATCGGTTAACCATTTGGTTACTCGGTTAAAACCTTAAAAATTTGAATTTTGGCGTCTTCTGGAAGGAAAAGTGCACATTCGCCCGTTTTCTTCTGTTCTGAGCCCTGTCCAGCCTTTGAAACTTGCTTCAAATATTAAAACTGTGAGAATGCCTGAGATAGCCTGAGTATTGCCTTCTGAGCTAAAAATATCCTACAAAATAAAATAAAATCGATTACTCGATCGTCGGGAAAAATAAATGCCAGAGCCTCTGATGTTCGCCGTTTAGTCTTGCACTAAAAAAAACTCTGAGCCACAGGAAAACCTTGATCCCCTGCCTCAAGAACAAATGTTATGACATGCAAAAATGAAATGAAACATAAGCTAAACACAAGAAAAGGTTGGTCAGATTTTGGGGTACAACAGTATCTAATAAATAAAAATAAAAAAATTAATTGGTATCTAATAAATAAAATTAATTAGAAAATATATGCAAAAAAGAAATTATAATAAAACAAAAATATTTATCTAATATTTGTAGAATACTTGAAAAAAGAAGAAAAAGATGTTTGATGATGTTATTACTATGGAAAATGAAAGAAGAAGGGTGGAAGAAATATGAGAGAAAACAAAAGAAAATTGAGAAAGAAGAAGTGTTGAGATTGTGTCTGGAATGAAGAAGATTTGGGGATTTATGGTACGCTTTTTGTGAGGGGCATCCCCACACGTGTCATAACTGTCATATTTTGTGAGGGGTCACCCCAAGCTAAATATTGACGTGCCAAATGTGTAACGGTATGGAAGCACGTGTACACAATTAGTGAGGGGCTACCCCACGCAATAAATGAGGATAAAATTTGCGAGAGGTTATCCCTAGCCAGTGTTGACATGTTGCAAACCACTATCATGTAGCAGGCTTTGGCGCAAGAATAAATGTTTTTGCATGCTGATTTGACTAAAGCCTTTTCATTGGTGAGGGGGAGCCCCTCGCAAAATGCATTTATTAAATTGGTGAGGAGTTGTCCCCTCGCAAATAGAAACTTTTGTCAGCATATTTTGGCACCCTTTTCTTACTGCGAGGGGTGACCCCTAGCAAAATCCAGTTTCAAAATTCAAAAACTTTTTCCTCCATATTTGCGAGGGGTCTCCCCACAGTCTTACTTTACATTTTTGTTTATATTTTATGCATTGCGATGGGTTTAACTCCAATCAACTTTGTTTTTTTAGTGAGGGACTTTAACCAAACAAAAGTCCCTAACTATTAACAACTTTTCTTATAGTAAGTAATGTCATCAATGCTCATTATGTCCCTCATAACTCCAATCTCCACAAAATTGTTACACGATTTTATTTCAAAACTTCTCACTCCCCCTTCCACCATTGACTTGAGCATCAAGTGTTGGACAAATAATACATCCTCCTAATTCCATCATAGAGCATCCATCAACTTACACATCTCTCTCAAGAGCCACTCATCTGAATCCAACTCAACTATTCATCCCGAATCAATTATTAATCGCGTTTAATAAATATAACTATCAACTTACACCGATATAGAATAAAACTTGTGATTTTGTCATTAAAATTCATTTGTAAATATAATACAAAATCACTTTAAAATGAAAGATTTTCATTGAACATCATTATAAAACTAGTTTAACATTGGCCGTGTATGTCTTCTTTTCTCAATCATTAATTGTGTAATTAATTCTATCTTTGAAACAAGAACATACAAAATAAACAATAAGCAAATTTAAAACATTTCATAATTTTCTTTCTTCTGTTTATTTTTTTTTATTTTTAACATTTCACAAGTGTTAGGAAATTGTCAAATAAATCTTATAATAAGATATAAGCTATGTTAGTTGCCTAAAAAAGTATATTAAGGTAGCAAATATTAATTAGACAATAATTTATTTGAGAACATCACATTTGGAAATTATGCATTTAGTATATGCTCACATAAAAATTAAAAAAAATTAATTAATTTTCACATATCCTAAATGGAGAGAATAACTAGTTCAAAATTCAAAGTTGTTCCACATAAATAATGTTTTTAGCTATAAAAGCATATGAGTGACTACAAGAAACAAAGAATGCATGTCTTATACATGAATGTCTAATAACCACTCCACCAGCAAATTATTGCCATGGAACTTAAATTTTTTTCTAACTATGATATTCTATAATTCTTCTCATAAGAAACCAAAACAAAACAAAAAATGGAAGCAGAGAGAGCCACTTTTCCACATGAAGACATCCTATGAATGTGAACCTCAACAGAGATCATAACAATAACTACAATTACTCTTCCAAGGATTCTCCTGTTTCTGAGTTTCCAGCTGTAGTTTCAATATGAGTTGAATGTTAGTGAAAAAGAAGCATCTCAAAGGAAAATATCTTGATTCAGAAAATAGCTATTTGTTCGAGTTTTGCTAGGTTATCGGGCTAGTCTCACAACACTTGTACTAAATAGCGTATGACAGAACAATAATGATTGTGTTACATCTTGATTTTGATATTGATTTTCTAAATAATGATAAGTTGATTTTAAGTTATTACATATCTTAAGAGAATTGATTTTGCCATCTAACAAGTGGTCGCACGCAGCTTGTTGTGTGATTGTATATAATTTTGATTATACATATATATATATATCTCTTAAGTAAGAGCAAGTAATGCAAATAACTTACACAAGCTGTCATCATGCTGTTCTTCTTTCTCTTGGGCCTCAATGCATTTGAGAAGATATTTAAAGGTCTCAATCTCACACGGTATCGTGAGCCCGCCGCTCTGATCAAATCCGAATTCCTCAGCAGCCTTTTCAAGCAACATTTTAAATAGGGAATGGCTAAGGTAGCTAGTTGGAATAATGAACCGTCGAAGCTCGGGGCCAACGTAGACCGCCAAGTAACCTTTTGGCACATCATGTGGTGGTTCTGGACTTTTGCAGCTTTCCTCATCAGAGTCACAATTTATGATATGTGTTATTCTTCTGTGAATTATTGGTGATATGCTACCATTGGTTTCTTCCATTTTCAGGCGGGGAGTTTTTGAGCCGATTGTGACACTTCGCCATTTATGAATTATTTCTTTTAGTCTCGCAATTTGCTTAATCCCGGTTAGTTTCGAGCCTCCACCATTCTCCATTGCTGAACTTTTTACAACAATAGTCAAATGTATTCCAAGAGCAAGTTCAGTGGAACTGATTCTAGACTAAACATTCACTGCAATTAAAATTATACTCAGTTACAATGTGCATGTAAGAAATAAAACAAACGCAAAAAAAAAAAAAAAAAAAAAAATCAAGTTCCTAAACAAAGGTGTTTCAATCATGACTATATTCACAATCCGAAAAATATAAAAAACTTCAAAAAGAAGGGAGAATATAATAATGGTTACTCATTTCTCTTTATCTCATGCTATAAAAGAAATCCAATTTACTTATTCATCCAAATGTATGGATAAGTTTTAATGGACAAATGGCCTTATTGCAAAGAAATCAATTGGCAACACAATCTTAGGCCATATGTTATCAAAGATGAAATGAGTTTTGTATTGAGATTTTTGATCGATTCTGTAATTTGTATTAAAATATTTTAGGAGGACAACTTTTCTTTTTATCTTTAAAAGAAATGGTAATAATCACTCAATCCTCACATACAACTATAGGATGCAGAGATTGAATCTGTTAAGAGACGTGGTTGGGTCTAACTCAACCCTACAAAATCGGTTGGTAGAGTGAGAATTGCCCCCACTTATAACACACCCCTCACGTTCAGGACTGAACAACTGAAGCGTCGAAATAAATGATAGGTGGTCCGATAGCGGAAACCATAGAAGGTGGCCCACCGGATCTTAAATGAGGCTCTAATACCATGTTAAGAAACGTGGTTGGACCTAACTCAACCCTACAAATCTTGCCCCCACTTATAACATAATCTTGGTGAGTTCAATCTAAACCAATTATTATTTGAGAGTTGAGTTAGGATTTGCGGACAAACAAAAATGTATATTGGATGATCAAAAATAAAAGGGAAAAACACAATTATTATTTTTTTTCAACGAATACCTCATGTACACTACGGTTGACATCTCTTCAAAATCTAAACCAAAGGGAATCATTTATTTTTTGAAATTGTGTTCCATCACAAAGCTACATTGTCTGAATTTTTAAACTAATCTCACAATTTCATAGATCTTGAATTGAACAATCAGATTCACACAGGTCCTTAGGCCAAGAAACAATGTAATTGAGGTTTCAACATCATCATGAATTTCAAAGTCGTTTCATAGAAATTTGATTAAAATTCTCTAGAATCTATAATTGAAAACCTTGTTTGTAGACATTTACACAAACATCAGACACGACGTCAACACTAACACACCAATAATAATTGTAAAAATAAATAAATTAAACGGAATCACATTAACACAACCATCAGACACGACGTCAACACTAACACGTCAACACCAATAATAATTTTAAAAATAAATAAATTTAACGGAATCACGTGGCACAAGACTTTTGATACTGCCTCAATGCAATTGTGCATTTATTTAACTACAAATCTTTACAATTCCAATTCCAATTCCAGCAAAAAATAAACAATCGAAATTCAAAATGCATAGAAAAAAATTGAAAGATACCTATGAGCATGAGCCATGAAACGATTGAAAAACGGCCATGCAGTTTCTTCGGAAGTAAACCAGAGCAAGCGAGCTCTCGTGAGAGAGAAAGATCAGTAATAACCAAAATAAATAAAAAATTTAAAAAAATTATAAAAAAAAAAAAGCGGTTTGTTAAAAGCTTTTTTTGGAACCCAAAACTGAAAAACGAAGTTCGTGTTTGAACTTTATATGCAAAATTATCGGCTACAAAATAGATAGGACTTTTGTTTTTCTGTTGCATTATCTGTTGTTTCGTTTTAACGCTTTCTTGTTTCACAAATAACAAACCAATCGCTATAGCGTCTTTATCGGGGTCTTTATTTTTCTGTTTCACCAATGGTTTGTGTAGAAACGGTGTCGTTTCAATTTTTTTAGAGAAAATAAAGTTTAAAAAATTGAGAAAAAATGTGTATAAATAAAATTAGTTGGACAGAGTGGGAGGAATGCGTTTGAATAAATTAATGGGAAAAAGAACTGTTGAGGAGGTTGCGTGGTTGTTCGGTTCGATTAGCAACAGGTTTGCGTGTACGGATGTATGTCTATTAATTTATGGTAAATTCTTATCTAACTAATGAAATTTTATTACTGTTAAGAGGAGGTGAATCTTACTTTCTATTGTCATTAAAAAAAAGGGTGGAGTAGTTTTTAAAATTTCTAGTTTGTCTTATGTAATTTGTAATTCAACTTTTTTTTAAATAAAAACTAATTCATTAGTAATAATGTCTTTAATAGCTTTTCTATTTAGGTAATCGACTTTTCCATTATCAGATTTTGTTTAAGATTTTTAATGAGCTGTCAATTCTGATTTTGAGTAAATTTGAATAAAATAATTTGATTTTAAAAATCATCTAATATATATGATACGATCATTTGAATTGTATCATGTCAGATCAACACACACACACTATCATACACACATGTTATTAGATGACCTATTTCAAGAAAGCGTGTACATTTTACCTTCGGTGCCGCACCACCAAGGCAAGGAACAAGAGACTCAAACTTCATCGAATTTGTCTTTCTTTCTGTAAAACTGTGTGTATGATTCTTTAGACATCTTCAACTTTTGGACAAGTTGATGGAAGACAAGTGCATGGTTATCTTCTCACTTACCGAGTAAAGTCGAAACTGCTCGATAATCGCAATTACCATCCCCTACAACATTGACGGTCCGCTCGATGTATTTGTACATAAAAACCGACATCTCGTCGATGAATGGATTATGTGGTTGAGGCGGCGTATGAGGTAGTTTGCTAATGCGCACTCCTTTGACAACACTTTTTTGAGATTTTGGAGTTGGTGAGTGGGGAAAAACTTTGTCAACATGTTCAAAATATGAAGGAGACCATGTAGTCGAATTGTCATTCAGTATAGGCTTCATTTTCTTCGGAACACCTTTTGTTTTTACCGTTTGAGAGAGCAGTTTCATGTCGGTGGTTTTCGAATAGGCAATCTTCCTTAATTGTTCTTTGATGTGGAGTTTCGTGTTGTCATCAGCTTTCGAAAATCTCTCTTGTATCACTTTCCATTCGGTCAAAATAGAGATATTTGATTTACGGTCATTCATGAGACCATCATCATCAAACGTAAGTCTCTTCCAATGAGGGCAAACCTTGTCCATTTTTATTGGGTCATCAAATTTCACATTTTTAGCAATAACACAAGCACATGGGAGGCCATATATTTTCACAATTGTGCATCCACACTTTGCGCTACCGGAGCCTACATTATCAGCTCGTTTAGCCTCGTGAAATATAATTCAAACCTGCCCGAGAAATGTTACCGACCAACTGAGAATATAGAGTGTTGTCTTTAAATATGTGTTCCAAAACTATGATGCTCCGACCAAATGATGTTTGTATCTCATTATGTGGTTTTGAATCATGTGGTTCATAGGGTCCTAGACTCTACACAAATCGCTCTTACTATTTCCCAACCAATTTTTTAAAGTAGCATGAACAGACTTAAGTTTGTTAGTTGTTGTATTTCCATGGTGTCTAACATTATCAATCCATGCACAAACAATTTTCTCATTCACCTGGTCAAGAATTATGCTTTCAACATATTTCAAAAAATCTGGATACTTTTCACACACTTTCTTGAAATGCATAACAAAATTGGCATATAGTTCTTTTGTGGAAGAATTTATTATAGAATTCCATGCATAAATTATTTTTTCCATAACCACACCCGCATTCACCATTTTTTCATCTTCTAACTCTATTTGTTTTGTCCATACTGCAGGTTTAACTTGACTTCTCTCATTCTTTGTTATGTGATACCTACAAAGTAATGCATTTAATGAAGGAAATATCTTTGCAACCGAATTCATCAAGGAGGTATCACGGTCGGTAACAACCACTTTAGACATCTCACTTTGGTCCTTCAACATTGTTCGACACACCTCTAAGGCTCGAGTAAAATTGTTCTTTTTTTACACTTAAGAAATGAAAAACCAAAAGAATATGTCTTCTCGGTTGAGGTGACACTAACCATCTCCAATAATGGAAGTTTATACTTTTTGGTCTTGTAGGTTAAATCAAGTATGAGCACCATATGAAACGTGTTGAACAACTTTATGGAATTTGGATGAGTCCAAAATATATCTCTAACAATAACTCCATCCTCGCATGTTCGGTACCTAAACACGTAACTGTTATGATCCAACAGTTTCAAGAGTTGTTGCATTTCAGTTCTATCCCCCCTAAGCGCCTTATTAGTAAGGTACCGAATATTATACATTTGCTTGATATTTGATATATTTTCGGGTCGTTTTAGTTTCAATGTTACAAGTATATTTTTTTGGTTGAACCAAATTCAATATCATGTCAGCAATGTATTCCTTCTCTTCTGGTCTGAGCCGACACACACTAGGATGGCCGAATAATTTTTCACAAAAATCATGGTTATGCAAACCACATTTCATATTAAATCTCCAGTTTTTGTTTGCCAACATGTAACCACGCACCTTAAACGGACACTCACGTTTTCTTGAATCAGTGACGTCTCTTTTAAAATTCAAGAGAGGAGTTCTACATTTCCCGCATCTTTCACATGTCATTGTCACAGAAGTGCATCTTCTAACTGAACCATTATCAAACCTTCTGATAACCACACCAAATACAAGTTTAGAGGTTTCCATACGAATCCATTGAAGCATTTGATCACGAGATTCAAACTCTTGCTTGATTTTAAATTGATTGCCAACATCAACCGCCTATATAACAACACCGTGGACAATCAGAAAAACAACTTGTTTTGGAATAACATCGGGGTGCACCATATCTAATGAAAACAATTAAAACCATAATAGTATATAAGCGCCACTGTTGAAAAAAATACTTGGAAAATAAAAATAGACTACTTCCGGAGATGTATCTCTGGACAAGTTCATACTCATTCCTGACATACATTTTCGGATACAATGCTCTTTTTTTAAAAAAAATCTTGATTAATGTAAGAAATGCAGTGGTAATTAA